GGTTTGAGCAGTCCTTACTTTCTAAACATAAGTTCAAAAAACTCCCTCATCCGGCGTTTTGCCGTCTGGGGCCTGTTTGAGAACAAATTTGAATTTTTTCATACGGGTCAAATATACTCCCATCCGGCATTGTGCCGCATGGGGCCCCTTTGAGCCAACTTTGTTTTTACTCAAACAAGAAGTAAATAACCCTCATCCAGTATTTTGCCGCATAGGGGTTGTTTGAGCAGCTTTTGCTTTTTCTCAAACTAGTTATAAATAACCCCATCTAGCCTTTAGCCGTATGGGGGTTGTTTGACCAGCCTTTGTTCTCAAACAATATTCTAGTAGCCCCCATCCGGCGTCTAACCGTATGGGGGTTGTTTGAGCTGCCTTTGTTCTCTAAGGGTTGTTTGAGTAGCCTTTGTTCTCAAACAACATTCAAATAGCCACCATCCGGCGTCTAACCGTATGGGGGTTGTTTTAGCTGCCTTTAGCTTTTTCTCAAACATCATTCAAATAGCCCCCATCCGGCATCTAACCATATGGGGGTTGTTTGAGCAGCCTTGGCTTTTTCTCAAACATCATTCAAATAGCCCCCATCCGGCATCTAACCGTATGGGGGTTGTTTGAGCAGCCTTGGCTTTTTCTCAAACATCATTCAAATAGCCCCCATCCGGCATTTAACCGTATGGGGGTTGTTTGAGCAGCCTTGGCTTTTTCTCAAACATCATTCAAATAGCCCCCATCCGGCATCTAACCGTATGGGGGTTGTTTGAGCAGCCTTGACTTTTTCTCAAACATCATTCAAATAGCCCCCATCCTGCATCTAACCGTATGGGGGTTGTTTGAGCAGCCTTGGCTTTTTCTCAAACATACAAATAGCCCCCATACGGCATTTAACCGTATGGGGGTCGTTTGAGCAGCCTTAGCTTTTTCTCAAACGTCATTCAAATTACCCCCATCTGGTATTTAACCGTATGGGGGTCGTTTGAGCAGCCTTGGCTTTTTCTCAAACATACAAATAGCCCCCATACGGCATTTAATCGTATGGGGTCGTTTGAGCAACCTTAGCTTTTTCTCAAACGTCATTCAAATTGCCCCCATCCGGTATTTAACCGTATGGGGGTCGTTTGAGCAGCCTTGGCTTTTTCTCAAACATACAAATAGCCTTCATCCGGCGTCTAACCGTATGGGGGTTGTTTGGGCAGCCTTTAGCTTTTTCTCAAACATACAAATAGCCCCCATACGAAATTTAACCGTCTGGGGGTCGTTTGAGCAGCCTTGGCTTTTTCTCAAACATACAAATAGCCCCATACGGCATTTAACCGTATGGGGGTCGTTTGAGCAGCCTTAGCTTTTTCTCAAACGTCATTCAAATTGCCCCCATCCGGTATTTAACCGTATGGGGATCGTTTGAGCAGCCTTGGATTTTTCTCAAACATACAAATAGCCCCCATACGGCATTTAATCGTATGGGGGTTGTTTGAGCAGCCTTCACTCCATCTCTGCTAACCTTCATCCGGGACTCCACCGCTTGGGGGGCTTTTGAATGAGCTTCCATTAAATACGTCTGATCTATTTTTCTTCATTTCAGCTTCAAACACATTCGGAGACTTCCGCCTGTGGAGGTTTCAAGCCACCATCTCAGCAAATCTCAACCTTCAAAGGTACCGCCTGTACCCTTTTTCAATTCTTTTAGTTAATTTTCCGGTTGCATAGATAGGATATGGACCCTTCCAATATACACTCGGCACAGCCTACGACTGTGGTCAGCCGGTCACCAGGGACGGCTGAGTCTAGGACTGGGACTGCCGTCTGGGGTATTTGGGCGAACCTTCACCTACCTCGAATCCGACCGTCTCTGTTCATGGCTCGGATAAGGTGGACGGCAGTTGACCCGGATTACAAGTCCGATGATGCAGCAAAAGATCCGGCTGACCCCCTAAACGAAGACCAGACGGTAGGACCGTCTGGTGAAATTCCTTTGGAAGAAACCCTAGAGACTCGTCAAGATTCCCCGAGTGGTCCAAGCACACCTGGTGACAGCATATTGGAAGACTCTGATTCTAATGCCGAAGGATCCGGCGACGAATCTGCTGGAGAAGAGTCTGGGTCTGAATCTGAAGCCCCCGTACAGGAGGCCGAGCCTATTAATGAGAAGGCTTACAAATGGCCGGCTAAGGGGGATCCGACTGACATGACCATGTCTGCGAGAGATGTGGTCACCCTAACTGCAACCCTTCCTGCCTTTATTTTTGAAAGGAAACTAGTTGGGAAGGACTGGGAAATAAGAGTCCCGCCTGAGATGAGCTTGTTAAAAGCTTCAACTTGACCGTTTGCTTGAGGATGGCCAACGGATGCAAAGTAGTGGGAAATCCCTTGATCTTGCAGCCAAGTCTTCAGGACAGGCGTTTCGAACTAGGGGCCATTGTCAAAGACCATTGACATTGGTACACCGAACCGGGTGATGACATTTCTCCAAATGAAGGAGATGACATCCTTAGTTTTGATGCCCTTTACCGCCTCGGCCTCAACCCACTTGGTGAAGTAATCAACAGCCACTAAAATGTATCTTTTGCCGCCTGGGGCAGGAGTGTATGGCCCCAAAATGTCCATGCCCCATTTGGCAAAGAGAATAGGGCTGTGAGTAGTTGTTAAATCAGTGGCCGGCTGTCTGATCAGCCGGCCAAACTTCTGGCACTTGTCACATCTTTTTACCAGATCTAATGAATCTGCCTCGAGGGTAGGCGAAAAGTATCCTTGCCGCCTGGCTCTTTTGGCAAGTGTCTTCCCGCCAATGTGTGATCCACAGAAGCCGGCGTGCAGATCTTCCAGTATTTCCTTTCCCCTTTCTAGGGTAACACATTTGAATAGTGGCTGTAGGTAACCCTTCCGGAAAAGTTCACCTTTGTGCATTACGAAGCTTAATGCTCGTCTCTTAAGAGCAGCCACCTCAGACGAGACACCCGGTAGGGTGCCGTCTACCAGGTATTCCCGGATGGGGTCCATCCAAGTGGAGCTTCGATCTAGAACTCCAATGGAGTCGTGTTCAATGCTTTTCTTTTCCATGACTTCCTAGAAGACTGACCTAGGCGTATCACATGTGGCGGATGATGCAAGTTTTGATAGTGCATCCGCCTGATTATTCTCGGACCTTGGCACTTGACTTAGATTAAACTCATCAAATGCCCCGGCCTCTTCCTTGACTGTCAGAAGATACTTAATCATTACCGGATGGGTGGCTTCGTAGTCACCATGGTATTGGCTAACGATTAGTTGAGAATCAGAGAAGGCGTCGACCTTTCTTGCCCCGACTGCCTTACACATCCGGATACCGGCTAGCAGGGCCTCGTATTCTGCCTCATTATTTGAAGCTTGGAATTTGAACATGAGGGCATACTCGAATTTATCCCCTTCCGGAGAATGACAAATTACGCCTGCCCCACATCTTGCCATTGTAGAACTACCATCTACGAATACCTTCCAAACTTGATCAATAATGTCTAGCTATAATGGTCTTGTCATTTCGACAATGAAATCAGCAAATGCCTGACCCTTTATTGCCCGCCTGGGTTCGAAGGATATTTCGAGACTTTGAATTTCAATGGCCCATTTAATCATCTTGCATGATGACTCCATGGTGGTCATTGGTCTTTTGAGGGGCTGGTCGGTGTAGACGGTTACCGGATGAGCCAAAAAGTAGGGTTTCAACCACTTGACTGCTTTGTACAACGCCAAACCAAATTTTTCAATTGTGGGGTACCGGAGCTCAGCATTCCTAAGTACATGACTTATGAAATACACCGGGAGCTGATTGCCGTCTCTATCAGCAAGGAGAACGGCACTCAGAGAATGATCTGAGATGGCCAAGTACATGTAGAGAGCCTCTTGTGGTAAGGGACTCACTAGCCTTGGTAAGGAATGCAAGTGCTGTTTTAGGCGTTGAAACGCCGCTTCAGCCTCTTCACCCCATTCAAACCTTGACCTTTTCTTGATTGCTTGGAAGAAATAAAGGCACTTGTCACCTGACCGGCTGAGGAATCTCCCCAATGCCGGCAGACAACCTGTAAGCTTTTGAGCCTCTCGAACCGTACGGGGTGACTTCATGTCTATTACCGCCTGTACCTTTTCCGAATTGGCCTCTATGCCCTTTTGATCAATCAAGAATCCGAGAAACTTTCCAGACTCAACCCCAAAGACGCACTTTTTTGGATTAAGCATGACTCTATGTCGCCTGAGGGTGGTGAAGGTTTCTCGGAGGTCAACTAGATGATCCACCTGGAGTTTGGATTTGACAATCATATCATCAATGTACACCTCCACGTTCCTTCCAATTTGGTGAAAAAATACAGAGTTGATCATACGTTGGAAGGTGGCAGGCGCATTTTTCAATCCAAACGGCATCATAGTGTAACAATACAACCCCTGATCAGTGACGAATGTTGTTTTCTCCTGATCCTTCTTCCATAGGGGTATCTGATGGAAGCCCGAGTAGGCATCCATGAAACTCATCAAAGCATGGTCGGCTGTGGAATCGACCAGGTGGTCGATCTTTGGAAGTGGATAACTGTCCTTTGGACATGCCTTGTTCAAATTCGTGTAATCTACACACATCCGCCAAGTACCATTCGGCTTTTTTACAAGTACTACGTTTGCTATCCACTGTTGCATTGCCGAATATACCCAGCATCTAAGAGTTTCTTGACCTCGGCTACTGCCGACTGAGATCTTTCCTCGCCATGATTCCTCTTCTTTTGCCTTACCGGCTTCTTTTTAGGATCCACATCGAGTTTATGGACAGCAAGGTCCGGGCTTATACCCGGCATTTCTTCTACTTCAAAGGCAAACACATCTTTGAATTCTTTGAGAAGAGATGGCAAGTCTGCCCCTAATGTTTTCAAAGCAGCCGTCCCAATTTTGACGGTCCTGTCTGGCCGACTGTCATCTAATATGATGTCTATGCTCTCACCAGCCGGCTGGGGCCGGAGGTCGTCTGACCTCTCCCCTGATAGTGATTGTTATTGCTTTGTTTTGATGGACTCTAGTGGATCCGCCTTTCTCTTTTTGCCGGCTGGGGCAGGTACTTCAGATGCTTCTTGATCACAATCATCAGGTATTTCAACATTGTCTTGACCGTCTGCGGTCAAAATTAGCTTGATGTCCGAGAGGTAACACTCCCTTGCCATCTTTTGGTCCCCGCTCAAGGAACCGACCGTGTCGTCGTCCCTCTCAAATTTTATCAACATTAGAGAAGGGATAATGACAGCCTTGGAGATGTTTAAGGTAGGTCGGCCAATGATCAAGTTGTAGGCCGTTAGTTCCTCAACGACAAGGACCTTGACAACCATGTGCCGACCTAGACCCTTCTCTCCAAACCGGATGGGTAGATCAATAATTCCTACCGGATGTACGACTCTTCCCCCAAAGCCTACTAGGGGGTAGGTAACCTGATTCATGTTGCTTGGTTTATACTTCAGCTTTTCCAAGCACCGATAGCTTATAATGTCGAACGGGCTTCCCGTGTCAATCAGTATACGGCCAACTCGCTGATTGGCAATTTTACACTCGACAACTATGGGGTCATCATGGGGCCGCCTGACATTCCCCCTGTCTTTCTCGGAGATATGGACCTCCGGAAAGGAGCTTTTTGACGTCTGACCATCATCCACTGAGTTGATCAATCTTCTAATATTGTCTTTAGTACCCCGGATGGTAGGACCACCGCCTGCAAGACCTCCGGCTATTGTGAAGATAGTATCTTCATCTGTGTCCGAGTGGTTTGCCGTCTGCTTCGGTTGCGGCCCTTTATTTTGTTTAGAAGTACTCTTTGACTTGGGCAAATATGATTTTAGAGCCCCTTCGTCAGCTAAGCGGTCAAGAAGCCGCCTGAGGCTAAAACAACCCTCAGTGTCGTGACCAATTTCTTCGTGGAAATGGCAATACTTGCTTTTGTCCCGACTGCTGACGGGACTCTTCATTGCAGCCGGTTTTTCTAGGTTCAACCGGTCTTTTACCTCCTTGAGAATAAAGGCGCAATCCTTGGCGAATTCGTATTTAGGGACGTGCGGATCCGACCTCTTTCTCTTTTGGGAGGGTTGTCCGGATGAGTCTGTCACCCAGACCTCCTTTTTTTTCTTTTCCTCCTTTTTGGCCGGCTGGGCAGGCCGGCTCTCCTGCTTTTCAGATCGTTTGTACTCCGACGGTGTCTTGATGGCGCAGAGCTCCAATGCCTGGATGTACGCTTCTGCTTTCATCAATGCCTCATAGAGGGTGGAGACCCTCTTCCTGACTAAGTCGAATTTAAATGTCGACCCGTCTTTCACTCCTTTGAAAAAGTCCGTGTAGGCGACTTCATCAGAAAGGCCATGGATTTGGATCCTCATCAGGTTAAACTGCCTGACATAGGACCTAATTCCCTCTTTTTCTCCCTGTTGTATTGCCCCTAGGTCGAGGCTTGTGTTTTTGGCATGGATATTCATCGAGAAGTTGGACGTAAACCAGTACGCCATCGTCCTGAAATTATTGATGCACCCGGAAGGTATGTTACCAAACCAACGTTGAGCAATCCCTTTCAACGTGGCCGGGAAGCATCTACACCATGAGGCATCGTCCAAACCCTGCAAATACATCAGGTTTGTATACGCCATCAAGTGATCTTACGGGTTAGAGGTACCATCATAGGCACCTACCAATATGTTTTTAATTTTTGATGGCTGGGCCATCTCAGTAATTTCCCTGGAGAACGCCGTTGGCTGTTCCCCAAGTCTTTGCAGACGGAGCTGCCAGTCCATGGGCTGGACGGGTGGTGGCTGACCTCCAAAGTCTGCTGATAAGGTGTTCCAAAAGGCATGTATGGATGTAATGCCGGCTGAATCATATGGGGACCGGATCGCGCGGAAAACTCTTCGTGCGTCTGGCTCCCCTTGCTGGTTTGTGAATGCCTTCCTGATGTTGTATGGAAGCTGTCATGGAACGTGGACGTTGATGCCGAGTCAGAGAAGTGAGTTCTTTTGTCTTCCAGGAGTACCCGGGCATCGGAGTAGAGTTTTTTCGTTCCATCCGGCTGTATATGCCGCACAGGTTTTTTAATCCCTTCCATGGGAACCCGAAGTCTTGAAAGCTCAAAGGGCCTGATTGGCACTGTTGGTTTTGGGTGAGGGGTAGAAGCTCTCCCCTTTACCGACTTGATTGTCTTTCTTCCATGATACCTCTTTTCCGCGTGGCCCTTACGAGGACCATCTGACTTATCAAGGAAACCCCTGATTTCCCCCTTGAAATTATCCATCATATTCAAGAGTTCATCCCTGGAGACTGGAGAGTCCCCTGCGGTAGAAGTTAACCCAAGCGGTCCCCTGGTAGGATGATTTGGGCCTGCCTGCTGCTCTGTTCGTTCCCTCTTGTCTTTGGAACGAGTATGCTTGGTTCGGAAGGAACCATCGGCGGTAGTGTAGGTTTCTAACTCATAGTTATCGGCTGTATCTTGGTCCGAATGGACCTCAACCTCCCCAATGGGCAGATTGCCTTTACCAGGTAGTATAGGCTCAGATGTCATCTAGAAAGTACTCTCCCCACAGACGGCGCCAGATGTTTGGGGGTTTTCTATGTGTCCTTCGGAAGAGTTACAATTTCCTAGCAGACTTCCTTCTTACGCCTGTACCTGCACAAGTAACGGAGACTCCGGATTGGGGGTGGGAGTTCCGCCTCCGAAGATTAAGTTAGTATCTTTTTGAAGTGGAAATAAGAACATTGAATGCTGCTCAACTGGAGAGCGTTTGTAATGGGGTTTTGTGTTTTTGGGTGGTTGGAATTAAATTGTGATCCCCATCAATGAGGTCTACCCCTACTATTTTTAGTAAGGGAGAATTGTACCTCAATTAGGGCACAAAGGACACGTGTCGCAAAGGTATTGGGCCCTCGCTGACCGTTGCAAGATTGACACGTGGCAAGCCTTCATTGGGCCACGTGTCTAAGGGTATTTTTACCCTAAACATGTTTGACTTTCATATGATTCAATTAGCTTTGTTGAATGCATTAGACTTTCATTTGATTCAATTAGATTTGTTGAAAGCATTTGACTTTCATTTGATTCAAAAAGCTTTGTTTGAATGTGTTAGAGTTTCATTTGATTCAATTAGCTTTGTATAATGCATTTGACTTTCAATTTATTCAATTAGCTTTGTTGAAAGCATTTGACTTTCATATGATTCAAAAAGCTTTGTTTGAATATGTTTAACTTTCATTTGATTCAATTAGCTTTGTAGAATGCATTAGACTTTCATTTGATTCAATTAGCTTTGTTTGAATGTGTTTGACTTTCACTTGATTCAAAAACCTTTGTTTGAATGTGTTTGACTTTCATTTGATTCAATTAGCTTTATTGAATGCATTTGACTTTCATTTGATTCAATTAGATTTGTTGAAAGCATTTGACTTTCATTTGATTCAAAAGCTTTGTTTGAATGTGTTTGAGTTTCAATTGATTCAATTAGCTTTGTAGAATGCATTTGAATTTCATTTGATTCAATTAGCTTTGTTGAAAGCATTTGACTTTTATTTGAATCAAAAATCTTTGTTTGAATGTGTTTGAGTTTCATTTGATTCAATTAGCTTTGTAGAATGCATTTGACTTTCATTTGATTCAATTAGCTTTGTTTGAATGTGTTTGATTGGAATTTGATTCAATTAGCTTTGTTTGATTGTTTTTTTACTTTCATTTGATTCAATCAGCTTTTTAGAATGCATTTGACTTTCATTTGATTCAATTAGCTTTGTTGAAAGCATTTGACTTTCATTTGATTCAAAAAGCTTTGTTTGAATGTGTTTGACTTTAATTTTATTCTATTAGCTTTTTAAAGTGCAATTTACTTTCATTTGATTCAATTAGCTTTGTTGAATGCATTGGACTTCCATTTGTTTAAAAAAACTTTGTTTGAATGTGTTTGACTTTCATTTGATTCAATTAGCTTTGTAGAATGCATTAGACTTTTATTTGATTCAATTAGCTTTGTTTGAATGTGTTTGACTTTCATGTAAATCAATTTTTGTAGATTGCATTTGACTTTCATTTGATTTAATTAATTTTTTTGAATTTGTTTGACTTTCATTTTATTCAAAAAGCTTTGTTTGAATGTGTTTGACTTTCATTTGATTCAATAAGCTTTGTTTGATCGTGTTTAACTTTCTTTTGATTCAATTAGCTTTGTAGAATACATTTGACTTTCATTTGATTCAATTAGCTTTCTTGAATGCATTTGATTTTCATTTGATTCAAAAAGCTTTGCTTGAATGTGTTTCACTTTCATTTGATTCAATTAGCTTTGTAGAATGCATTTGACTTTTATTTGATTTAATTAGCTTTGTTGAATGCATTTGACTTTCATTTGTTTCAAAAAGCATTTTTTGAATGTGTTTGACTTTCATTTGATTCAATTAGCTGTGTAGAATGCATTTGACTTTTATTTGATTCAATTAGCTTCGTTGAATGCATTTGACTTTCATTTGATTCAAAAAGCTTTGTTTGAATATGTTTAACTTTCATTTGATTCAATTAGCTTTGTTTGATCGTGTTTAACTTTCTTTTGATTCAATTAGCTTTGTAGAATGCATTTGACTTTCATTTGAATCAATTAGCTTTGTTGAATGTATTTGACTTTCATTTGATTCAAAAAACTTTGATTGATTGTGTTTGACTTTTATTTGATTCAATTAGCTTTGTAGAATGCATTTGACTTTTATTTGATTCAATCAGCTTTGTAGAATGCATTTAACTTTCATTTGTATCAAAAATCTCTGTTTGAATGTGTTTGACTTTCATCTGATTCAATTAGCTTCGTAGAATGCATTAGACTTTCATTTGATTCAATTAGCTTTATATGAATGTGTTTGACTTTCATTTGATTCATTATTTATGATTTCATTTGACCTTCATTTGATTCAATTAGCTTTTTTGAATGCATTTGACTTTCAATTGATTTAAAAAGCTTTGTTTGAATGTGTTTGACTTTCATTTGATTCAATTAGCTTTGTTTGATCGTGTTAAATTTTCTTTTGATTCAATTAGCTTTGAATAATGCATTTGACTTTCATTTGATTCAATTAGCTTTGTAGAATGTATTAGACTTTCATTTGATTCAATTAGCTTTGTTTGAATGTGTTTTACTTTCATTTAAATCAATTTTTGTAGATTGCTTTTGACTTTCATTATATTTAATTAATTTTTTTGAATTTGTTTTACTTTCATTTGATTTAAAAAGCTTTGTTTGAATGTGTTTGACTTTCATTTGAATCAATAAGCTTTGTTTGATCGTGTTTAACTTTCTTTTGATTCAATTAGCTTTGTAGAATACATTTAACTTTCATTTGATTCAATTAGCTTTGTTGAATGCATTTGACTTTCATTTGATTCAAAAAGCTTTGTTTGAATGTATTTCACTTTCATTTGATTCAATTAGCTTTGTAGAATGCATTTGACTTTTATTTGATTCAATTAGCTTTGTTGAATGCATTAGACTTTCATTTGATTCAATTAGATTTGTTGAAAGCATTTGACTTTCATTTGATTCAAAAAGCTTTGTTTGAATGTGTTAGAGTTTCATTTGATTCAATTAGCTTTGTATAATGCATTTGACTTTCAATTTATTCAATTAGCTTTGTTGAAAGCATTTGACTTTCATATGATTCAAAAAGCTTTGTTTGAATATGTTTAACTTTCATTTGATTCAATTAGCTTTGTAGAATGCATTAGACTTTCATTTGATTCAATTAGCTTTGTTTGAATGTGTTTGACTTTCACTTGATTCAAAAACCTTTGTTTGAATGTGTTTGACTTTCATTTGATTCAATTAGCTTTATTGAATGCATTTGACTTTCATTTGATTCAATTAGATTTGTTGAAAGCATTTGACTTTCATTTGATTCAAAAGCTTTGTTTGAATGTGCTTGAGTTTCAATTGATTCAATTAGCTTTGTAGAATGCATTTGACTTTCATTTGATTCAATTAGCTTTGTTGAAAGCATTTGACTTTTATTTGAATCAAAAATCTTTGTTTGAATGTGTTTGAGTTTCATTTGATTCAATTAGCTTTGTAGAATGCATTTGACTTTCATTTGATTCAATTAGCTTTGTTTGAATGTGTTTGATTGGAATTTGATTCAATTAGCTTTGTTTGATTGTTTTTTACTTTCATTTGATTCAATCAGCTTTTTAGAATGCATTTGACTTTCATTTGATTCAATTAGCTTTGTTGAAAGCATTTGACTTTCATTTGATTCAAAAAGCTTTGTTTGAATGTGTTTGACTTTAATTTTATTCTATTAGCTTTTTAAAGTGCAATTTACTTTCATTTGATTCAATTAGCTTTGTTGAATGCATTGGACTTCCATT